TTGTCCATTCAAAAGAACTTTCTGTACTGGATTCCTCAATCAGTTGGAATGGACAAATGAATATAGGTATAGGAGCTAAATGCCACAAATAGAGAACAATACAGATACACAAGTAAATACTTAAGATGAAAAGTCAGTTCTTTTTTAAAAAAAGAATATATTTTTATTTATTTTAGAGAGAGAAAGGGAGAGGGAGAGAAACATCAATGATGAAAGAGAATCATTGATCAGCTGCCTCTAACACGCCCCCCACTGGGGATCAAGCCCACAATCCAGGCATGTGCTCAATCCAGGCATGTGCCCTGACCAGGAATCGAACCATGACCTCCTGGCTCCTGAGATGATGTTCAACCATGGAGCAACACTGTCTGGGACTGGATTCCCTTTTGTGGTTTCATTTTTTAGGGAGCTCTGCTCCCCACCCCCCTCTTTTTCCAGGACAGACTGTCTGGATGTTTTCAGGAGAGGTGCACAGGGGATGGCCACAGTGAGGGGATGCTTTGCATGCTGTGGTGTGTGTGGGGGGGGGAGGGGCGGGGAGGAGGCAGAGATTCTCCCTTGGAGGTGGCAGTGGGGGAGGGTGACTCGATGCTTTATGTAAACCCAGTCAGGAACCCGCTTTCAATTCGTACTGCTCGTCTGAGGGACTTGCCGGGGGGCATGCGACGGGCAGCACTGCAGTGTCACAGCCTCTGCAAGCTGATGGCATGGACTGTTTCTTCCAGTTACTGCAGCCAGGTGCTCAGCAAAGAGGTGGATGCCTGTGTTTCGGAGCTGCTGAAAGAGCTGGTCCGTTTCCAAGACCGTATGTACCAGAAAGACCCCGTCAAGGCCAAGACCAAACGCCGGCTGGTGCTGGGGCTGCGGGAGGTGCTCAAACACCTGAAGCTCCGGAAGCTGAAGTGCGTCATCATCTCTCCCAACTGTGAGAAGATACAGTCGAAAGGTAGGGCGCTTCCTGGGCCCGGGCCTGGCCCCACGCCAGTCGGCAGTGAGCGTGGGCCGTGCGGTCGGCCTCCTTTCCTTTAGCTTGGGGCATTTGTTTGCAGGGCTTATTTGCCCACCACGGGCCTTACCCTGCAGCAGCCAGGCCTGCGGTCTTCCTGGCTGGGCTGGCCGCCCTGCAGGCCTCTGGCGGCAGGAAAGGTTTGCTCTGGAGCTTGCAGGTGGGGGTGGGGGGTGTCACTGGCCACTCACGCCAGTTTGGTGACTGGCTGCCAGGCACCAGGCTCTTGTCTATTTTAAATTTCCTGGTTTGGTCCGTGACTGACCCCTGTGCCTACTTCCTCATTAAAAGTCTGGATTTGGCCGAAACCGGTTTGGCTCAGTGGATAGAGCATCGGCCTGCGGACTGAAAGGTTCCAGGTTCGATTCCGGTCAAGGGCATGTACCTGGGTTGCGGGCACATCCCCAGTAGGAGATGTGCAGGAGGCAGCTGACCGATGTTTCTCTCTCATCGATGTTTCTAACTCTCTGTCTCTCCCCCTTCCTCTCTGTGAAAAATCAATAAAATATATTTAAAAAAAAAAAAAAGTCTGGATTTGCCGGGCTAGCGTGCTCAGTGATTGAGCGTTGACCTATGAACTAGGAGGTCAGGCTCAATCCCCAGTGTGGGGCATGCTGCAGGAGGCAGCCAATCAGTGATTCTCTCAGCATAAAGCTCAGTTCCTCAAGCAGCAGAGGCCCAGTAGGCACTCTGGTCAGATAGGAGCCCTCTCTAAACCCAGCTCTCTTGCTAGCCAGGGTCCAACCACACAAGCCAGTCTTCCTGAGGACAGCAGCAGTGGGCCGCTGGGTTAGGACACCGCTCACGTAGCATTTGTGTCAACCCCAGGGCTGGGGTGGACAAGAGGCAGAGACCCCTAGAGGGAGAGATAACTCAGCCATATTTAGGCGTCAGTCTCCGGTGATGAGTTGTAATTGTATCTCAGGAACATACCCGTCACCCCACCTCTGCCCGCCTCCCCTCTTCCCAGCCTGCCTGGAACTGGTGTGTTCCTTGGAAGTTTATGTCCTCAGAGGTTGAGCCCTCATCACCTCTCATGCTCTTCTGGGAGATCTGGAGTAGAGGTGGGCGAATAAAGGAGGTGGGGCTTGAAAGTTCCTGCCCAGGCACACCAGGCAGAATGAGTTTCCAGTTCCCACCTAGTGGGGCCTGTGCACTAGGGAAGTTCCTCTCTCGAAAGGATATTCAGAAACCATGTACTTAGTTCCGGGGAACCGTCTCCCTATCCTGGAGCGGGTCTGTGCAGAGCAAAGAGCACTGTGACTATGCCGTGCCCCTTCCAGGTGCTGGGTGAGAACAGCTCACTAGTGCAGGTGGGCTCGTCATTTCATTACTTTCTTTTGAGGGGCAAACCCCCCAAATCCCTCTAGCTCCTCAGTCAGCCACCACTGCCACATTGGTATGTATCATCAATAGTCCACACGTATGTATGAGCTGTGTGTGTGTGTGTGTGAGCGCTGTGGGTGCTGTGTGTGTGTGTGAGCGCTGTGTGTGTGTGTGTTTTTTTGCGGTATGTGTGTGTGTGTGAGCTCTGTGGGTGCTGTGTGTGAGCGCTGTGGGTGCTGTATGTGTGTGTGTGTGAGCACTGTGGGTGCTGTGTGTGTGAGCTCTGTGGATGCTGTATGTGTGTGAGCGCTGTGTGTGTGTGAGCGCTATGAGTGCTGTGTGTGTGTGAGCGCTATGAGTGCTGTGTGTGTGTGTGTGTGTGTGTGTGTGTGACAGAGAGAGAGAGAGAGAGAGAGAGATGTGGCCTCCTGCAGAGGGCACACTGGTGTTGTGTGAGCACTGTGGGTGCTGTGTGTGTGAGCTCTGTGGATGCTGTATGTGTGTGAGCGCTGTGTGTGTGTGAGCGCTATGAGTGCTGTGTGTGTGTGAGCGCTATGAGTGCTGTGTGTGTGTGTGTGTGTGTGTGTGTGTGACAGAGAGAGAGAGAGAGAGAGAGAGATGTGGCCTCCTGCAGAGGGCACACTGGTGTGCAGACTTCACACCTGTCAGTGCCTTGCACACTGCTTTTCTGTGTGCCCATCTCTGTAGGTTCCAGCTGGAGAATAGAAGGGCATGGGCATGTGTCACAGTGGCCCCACCGGCTGGGCCTGCCCCTCCTGGCTCCCCGCCCTTGGGGGAGGTCGTGCATCCTCACTTGGTTAAGAGCAGGGCACTTTCTGTGATCTGTGTTGTATAGATAGTACCTTTTTGTGTAACAAGAAGTTGGCCCTTTGGTTGAGAGAGGTATATGTTTTTCTGGTTTGTCAGTAGCCTGTTTTCTCTCCACCTTTTTCTGACCATACACGCAGTATGTTTGTGTGTCAGTAGTTTTTATTCCTCTGTTTTTATCACATCGAGATTTTATGTTAGCCCTCGACGTTCGCCCCCAAGGTAATGAACATGTTTTACATTCTGCTTCTCCCTGTTCTCCATGTTTCATTTGGTCTGTGTAGCATGTATGTCAGTCTCAGACGGCTCTTCCCAGAGGCTGATCAGTGGTCCCTTCTGCACGGCTCACCCTGCGTCTTTGGGCCATTTCTGGGCCCTCTTCTGCCTCTGCTCTTGTGTTCAATGCTCCTGTAGCCTCAGAGCACACTTTCAATGCCTGGGATGCTTTTTCAAAACATTTCCTTTTTCAAAATGCTCTTTTTACTTGCGTATTTTTTTCATATTTTTTATTCTTAAAAAATCCTATTTGTAGTAAGCCATGGTGTTTCAGCGCTTTAGGCCAATATACCAGGTGTATCTGTTAATAATGTGGTGTGTTTTTTTTTCACTAGATGGAGTTACACATCTGTTGATATATATGCGATTTGATATGTATGCTATTTTGCGATATTGACAACAAGCTTTAAAACTTCATATGTCAAATTTGCTGAAAGTGTTAACATCATAGATATTTTTACGCTTAAAAATATTGATTTTCGTGCCAAAAAAAAGAGCATTTGTGGGAAGTTTTAATTCATTACTTATTTTGAAGAAAAGTGCCGCTGAATACTTTGGGAAGCTTATGGTGAACAGTCTCCATCTCAAGATACTTGTGAACGCTGGTTTAAACCCTTTAAAAGTGATGATTTCAGTATGAAAGACAAAGAACATCCAGGTCTGGTGATGAAAAGTGGATTTATTTTGAGAACCTCAAACATACAAAATCATGGGTTGATCCAGGTCAACCATCAACATCGACTGCAAGGCCAGATCACTTCAGAAAGAAGACAATGCTCTACATTTGGTGGATCAGGAAGGTGTGGTGTATTATGAGCTTCTAAAGCCAGGTGAAACCATTAATACTGATCGCTACCAACAACAAATAATCAATTTAAACCACCTTTGATCGTGAAACGACCAGAATGTGCCAGAAAACATGGCAAAGTAATTTTGCTTCATGATAACGCACCATCACACACTTCAAACCAGTTAAAGACACGTCAAAAGATCTTGCCTGGGAAGTATTAACCCACCTCCCGTATTCACCAGACCACTTGTCCCGATCGATGACACACACTTTCTGAGCAGCGCTTCAAAACATATGAAGAAGTGGAAAATTGGGTCTCTGAATGGTTTGCCTCAAAACAAAAGTTCTATGGGGACGGTACCCACAAATTACCTGAAAGATGGGGGAAATGTGTAGCTAGCGATGGACATTACAGTAGGTCCTTGGGTTATGTCAGAGATCCTTCCTACGGCGAGAGGTAATGCAATTTTCGCCGTAAGTCAGAACCCACCTACATAAGCACCTACGTCACTCAGGTGGAGTGCATACACAGCAGTAATGAAGTGAAACAGTAAAAGAAATTTAAAAGAAATATAACAATTCCTGACCTTTACTTGTGGTAAATAGGAAAAAACATAAAGCACATATGTACATACGTCGAAATGACAGAACTTTTTTTATAAATAAATGGGAGATGGTGACGTAACCACGAAATGATGTATGTTGAGTCTGATGTAACCCAACGACTGTCTGTACTTCGAATAATGCACTTTTGACGTTTCTCTTGAAATTATCGTGTTTTCTTTGATCACAAAATCCGCATTATTAACCGGTACACCTGGTGGAGTGGACGTGTAATTTTGGATCACGCTGCCCAGGAGCAGAGATGTCTCACTTAAAGTTTTCTGTGGTGTTTTTAGCCGGTGGAGGTTGCTCTGTGGGTCTGCCGATGCGTCTGTTCTGCCTGTGCTCAGCTTTGGCTGCTGTCGGAGTGGAGTCGTTTCTCCACTGCGTCCCGGCTGGCCGCGGGGTGCAGCCCGCACAGGCTCCATGTGTAATGCTCTGGGTGGTGGTAATTGCTGCGTTTCTGGCTTGGCAGGCACACCCCGCACGGAGCTCCTCACCTTCCTCTGAAGCTCGCGCTGCCTCTCCCCGTGCGGCCTGTGCAGCGGCCTGGCTGGCGCCTCGCTGGGAGCCAGGCCCGTGTGTGCTCAGGTTGGGGGGAGGTGATGTAGGATAGGGGCCAGGGACCTCTCTGCTGCTGGCTCCCCTCGGAGCGGGCCGTAGCCTCCCCTCTTGTGTTTGTGAGGATACTGCAGCTCCCACAGGGGAGGCAGAGCGGTGGCCCAGCCATGTGAGGATACTGCAGCTCCCACAGGGGAGGCAGTTAGAGCGGTGGCCCAGCCGTGCTGAGGCTCAGTGATGTTTGCTAAGACTATGAGGTGTCACGCAGCTGTTGACGCAGCACAGACCCATCCATTCCACGAAGGAGTGGTCTTTGGAGAGTGATTTCTTCCCTGTGGCTGGCAAGTCAGAGGGAGCTGGCTGTGTTGCTGTGTGTAGCAGAAGCCCCTGCGACCAGTGTCCCCACCAGCCCATGTGACGCTCTCCTGTCGTTCCCATGACCCCCCTCGGACAGGTGGACTGGACGACACCCTGCACACCATCATCGCTTACGCCTGTGAGCAGAACATTCCCTTCGTGTTCGCGCTCAACCGCAAGGCTCTGGGGCGCAGTCTGAACAAAGCTGTTCCTGTCAGCGTGGTGGGCATCTTCAGCTACGATGGGGCCCAGGTGAGCGGAGCGGGCTGTGCCCGGGGGGAGGCGGACACGGCGTGCTCCCAGACAGAGCCCAGTGGCCCCTGAGCCTCAGTGGCCTGTTTCCTTAAGAGCACGGACGGAAGTGTGATTCCAAGTTCCACTCTGGGCTCACTGCTGCCACTCAGGCGCCCTGTTCTCTCGGGGTAGCACCCTCGGCGGGTGGCACCCTTCTCTGTGGAGGGTTTGCGGGAGACCCATTTTTTCTGTGGTCAGGCATCATCTGTGCCCTCACTCTGTCCAAGGACCAGTTCCACAAGATGGTTGAGCTGACGATGGCGGCGCGGGAGGCGTACAAGACGATGCTCGAGACCACGCGCCAGGAGCCTGCACAGGGCCCCAGCGGCTCCGCGGAAGGCGGCCCCCCAGCTTCTCCCACAACAGAAGAGCCACACTACAGTGAGTGCTGGGGAGGGTCCGAGTCTGGGCCAAGTGTCCTTCGAGTCTTCCTGGACTTTGATTAAAAAGTCCCGGTGCTGGGTACTGGCTGAGGAAGGCCTAGTTAAGTCTGGCCATTGTCTAAGAGGTATTCTCAGACCCGAATTTGCAAGGACTTGTCAATGAGTGTCTCAAACAGACCTCTGGTCAGACAGCCCCTGGACAAGGTGGCTGCAAGGATAGCTGTACCCTCGGCAGGAGGTGGTCAAGGTCAGCCAGCACCCAGGCTGACTGATGCTGCTCACTCGGGGCGGGGGGAGCGTGGGAGATGGGGTTGAGCCCTGCTGGCCTGTGCAGGGGACTGAGCCGCTGAGCAGCATGCTCTCTGGTAGACTTTCCCGACTGTCCCTGCTGTTCTTCAGCTGTGCCACTCTCTCCTTCCAGTTGAAATCTGGAGAAAACACCTGGAAGCGTACAGTCAGTGTGCCCTGGAGCTAGAAGAATCACTAGAGGCTTCAACCTCTCAGATGATGAACTTGAATTTATAAGAAGGGTTCTTTTGTGGGTTTGTATTTGGGGTAAGGAGGGGAGGTTTGAACAACTTTGTGGCCCTCTTCTTAGCTTTTCACTGGCCTAATGTATTTGTAACGCTGTTTAATTGGGACATTGGCAGCGTAGAGGGCGTGGGAAGCAGCCTTTGTGGCACCACGGCTGCAGGCCCTGTGGCGGGCATTGGGCTTGCTGACGGAGCCTTTCTGGAGGCCCTCGGAGCACTGTGAATCCGGAAGACCCTGGGGAAGGTGCCGAGCCCTCTGCTGCTCCAGAGCGGATCACTGAGCCAGGTCATTCGTCTGTGGAAACGGGAGCAGGGTGGCTGCTGTCCTCCCAGGCACGGTGAGGGCCCGGCCCTGCCCCTGCAGGAAGCCAGTGTCAGAGCAGGAGGCAGGGAGGGTCCTTCTCGGGACGTGGCCTTTCAGTGGGAAGATCTGGGAGACCTGGAGGGTTTGCTAAAATGAGCCTCAAGAATAATCAGTTTTTTAACCTGTTACCTTTGACATGAATTATTTCTAATTTTAGTTGTTATTTTTCAGAGAAACAATGTATATTGAAATTCCTAAATTTCAGTTTTGATAATCTACAAATCTTTCTTTTGTAAATGAACATGTTCTGAATGTGGTTTCTGTCTCAGAGGCCAGGAGGCAAAAAGTTTACTTTCCTATTTTCCTGTAAGTAAGAGGGCTTATTTATTTTCAATAAAGAGTGATTATTTAATTTCCCTGGAGACTCTGGTCATTTGGTTTATCCTTGGTCTCTTTCTTATTAGTTCTTCCTTTGTCTTGACCTGTGCCTTTCAGCCTTGGAATGGAAGGTGACGGCTGAGCAGGGAGAGGCTTGTTATGCCCAGACCTCCTGGTGCTGGAAGTAGCAGCTGCTGAGGTCTCAGACCCTCAGAGACCGGCGCCTCCAGACCCTGCCCTGTCTCTGCTGGCATGCTTGTCACAGAGGAAATGGCAGGATTGCAGTGTCACTGGTTTGTGCTTGTCAGGCAGGTAGTGTGTGGTGTTGGCTTTGAAAGTACTGTTAGTTGAATTCAGTCGTGCCAGGTACTGTATCTTTGGGAGGTAAGTGGCCTAATGAGCAAACAGAAGTGCAGTAATGAGTCAGAGGGCACAGCGTGTGGCCAGGGCTGGCAGTGGGACCGTGGGGTGAGTGGAGGAAGCCCTGCCTCTCTGGTCCTCTAACACGTTATTCCCACTGTGTGCCCTGCCTCTCCAGACACTTTCTGAGCTGTTTACATGGGGACGTAGGCTCTGGTTGGCCAGCGCCTAACTGCAAGCCCAGGTCCTTTTCAGGAGTCTCTCTCGGCTGCCACGAGGAGCAGCATCGGGAAGGTCTTTTCTGCTCTCCACATGGCGACAGGTAGCAGGTCAACTGTACTAGGTTTGAAAACAGGAGATTATTTGAGAATAAAGGTTCCAAAATTATTTTTGGGAGAAAATGAAATAGCCTTTCATATGCACTAAGCAGCCTAGAATTGTGAAACTGCTGATAAATTAAAAAATAAGAAGACTTCTGGTCAAGATGGCAGAGTAGGTAAACCCTATGGTTGCCTCCTCCCATGATCGAAATTACAACTAAATTATAGAACTGTCATTACTAACAGCCCCTTGAAGACTAGCTGAACGGAAGTCCTCTAACTGAGGCTGTAAGGAAGCACCACATCGAGACTGGTAGTGGGCATGGAGATGGGGACTGGGGAGTTCCCCTCACACTGTGCCGACTAAGGAACAGGTGGGGTGCCTCTACTGCAGAGGTTCCCTCTGAAGAGCCAGGGCCCGCTCCCACACCAGCTACCCCCACCCAGAGCACCAGAGCCAGAGGAGAAGTCCCCATATTTTCTGGCTGTGAAAACCAGCAGGGGCTCTGTCCAAGAAAAAAAGCTGCTAGAGAAAGAGGTGCTGCTCTCACAGTGCACACGCATAGACTCACTTGCTCACAAACACTTCCTCTAAGCACCGGTGCAGGGGCAGCAGCTTGTAAAGTGCCAGGGAGGTACGGGGAGGAAGTAAATGGACATACTTCAGGCCAGTGGCCGGAAGGGTGGGGATTGGGAGGTTAGAAGTACTGGCAGGTGCTATTCCTTTGTTGAGCTCTCCCACCCCGCTGGCCAGGTACAGGTGGACACCAAATCTGTGCTCTCCACTAACCTGGATCATACTGTTCACCCTTCGCTGGTGATTCCCAGAGACCTTGTTCTCTCCAACTGCTTGCCTGGCCCAAGCCTTTTCCAGTGGCTCCTCCACAAAAGCAGCTCACCTCTGCTTGTGCTGTGGACTTTCCCCCAAATCTGCAAACTTCACAGAGTGCTCTCGTCTTGTGTTGCAGATTTTCTCAAATGTCTACAAGCCCCACACATGTGGCAGATGCCCTACCGAGACTTGTGTGAAACTTTCCCAAAGACCCACAAACCCTATTCGAGCAGCGACTGACCTCAGTGTGCACTGTAGCTCCTGGCAAGGGGCCCCAAGCCCAGCACAAGTGGTGACCAATCTCAGCTTATACAGTAACTCCCAACAATTGACCCAAGACCTGGCATAAGTGGTGGCCAACCTGCCTGTAACATCTCCAACTAAACAACCAAAAGCCAAGCGGCAGCTGGCCTCATCTCACATCACAGTGCCCACCAAAGAATCTGAAGGTTGGCACAAGTGGCACCTGGTCTTGGTTCTTAGCATAGCTTCTCTCAAGCACCTCCAAGCCTAAAATAAGCGGGAGTTGATACAGATAACTGTTACTTATACCAAGCAACCCCCCAAGTCTGGCATAAGTGGTAGCTGACTTTGCCCTCCCAAGATCCAGACTGTACCAGAGCCCCATCCAACCAGTTCCACAACTGACATGCTGAAAGGCAGTTTTGGCTGGCGTCAGAAGCTCCAGCACAATGAACCCTCCATGGGGACAGCCCCTGCACAACAGCTGGTCCACTGTAGTCATAGCCAGCCTTCACAGCCAGTCTGCGTGGGGGTCAACCCCACCCACTGATGTGCCAGTGGCAGCAGTTAAGGCCCAATCACAACAGGAGGCCCAACACAACCTACATGAGACACCCCTCGAGCATCCAGCTCAGGTGACCTGGAAGACTGCCACTGAGCCCTACAGAATACATCCATACTACTCTCTCAAGACTTGGAGATGTAGCAGATCTACCTAATGTAGAGAAACACAGGAAGTCAACCAAAAGAATTCAAAACACTGGTTAAAAGAATGCTCCTCGCCCTATGGGAGAACAGATGAATTCTGAAAACCTCAACAAAAAGATAGAAAACATATAAAATGAGATAGAAAACAAAAAAGAACAACTCAGAACTGAAGAATATAATTACTGAAATGAAGAATATACGATACACTAGTTGAAGCAGAGAAGACAAGGTAGCAGAACACATGCAATTGGACAGCAAAAAGAAAAAGAAAAACAACACTTATTTTTTAAAATATATTTTATTGATTTTTTACAGAGAGGAAGGGAGAGGGATAAAGAGTTAGAAACATTAGTGAGAGAGAAACATCGATCAGCTGCCTCCTGCACACTCCCCACTGGGGATGTGCCCACAACCAAGGTACATGCCCTTGACCCGAATTGAACCTGGGACCCTTGAGTCCGCAGGCTGACACTCTATCCACTGAGCCAAACCGGTCAGGGTGAAAAACAATTTTTAAAATGAGGGTAATTTAAGGCAGGGGTCCTCAAACTTTTTCAACTGGGGGCCAGTTCACTGTCCCTCAGATGGTTGGAGGGCCAGACTATACTTTAAAAAAAACTATGAACAAATTCCTATGCACACTGCACATATCTTATTTTGAAGTAAAAAAACAAAACGGGAACAAATACAATATTTGTATTTGCATGTGGCCCACGGGCCGTAGTTTGAGGACCCCTGATTTAAGGGAACTTGGATAACATCTGGTGTAACAACATTCACATAATAGAGGTCCCAGAAGGAGAAGAGGGAAAAGGATTGAAATCCTCTTTGAAGAAATAATGACTGAAAACTTACCTCACTTGACAAAGAAAACATACAAGTACAGGAAGTGCACTGAGTCCCAAAGAAGATGAACCCAAAGAGGCCCATACTAAGACACATGATTAAAATGCCAAAAGTTAGAATCTTAAAAGCAACAAGAGAAAAGCAACTAGTATGGACAAGGGAGCTCCCATAAGACAATCAGCTGATTTTCCAACATACAAATTAAAAGCCAAAAGGGAATGGCACAAAATATTCAAAGTGATGAAAGGTAAAACTTATAACCAAGATTGCTCTATCCAGTAAGGCTATCATTTAGAATAAAAGGAGAGATCAAGAGTTTCCCATGCAAGAAAGAAACTATAGGAGTTTATCACCACTAAATCAGTTTTACAAGAATGTTAAAGGGACTTTAAGTAGAAAAGTAAAGATTAAAAAAAAATGTAGAAAGAAAAAATTTTCACCAACAAAGGCAAACAATAAAAGCAGTGGTAGAAAGGTTAAAGACAAAAGTAGGAAGAGCATGTGTACTTACAACAATAGATTAAGGGATACACATGAAAGAGATAAAGTGACAAAAACATAAATGTGTGTTGGTGAGTAAAAACTAGTGATTTTAGAATGTGTTCAATCTTAAGAGAAAATCAACTTAAGTAGGCTGCTATAAATATAGCTTGGTGTATATATACAGTACATGCTAACCAAAAATCTCTAAGAGACATAAATAAAAAGAAAGGAATCTAAACATAACACTAGAACAGCATTTCTCAACCTGTGGGTCACGACCTCTTTGGCGGTCGAACGACCCTTTCACAGGGGTTGCCTAAGGCCATCCTGCATATCAGATATTTACATTATGATTCCTAACAGTAGCAACATTACAGTTATGAAATAGCAACGAAAATAATTTTATGGTTGGGTCACAACATGAGGAACTGTATGTAAAGGGCCAGAAGGTTGAGAACCACTGCGAAAGTCATCAACAGAAAAGAGAAAATAGCAAGAGAATATAAGAGGAATAAAAGAAATATAAAAACAATTAGAAAACAAGTATGAAATGGCAATAACTGCATACCTATCAATAATTACTTTAAATATAAATGGATTAAGTGTTCCAATCAAACACTTAAGGCTATCATTTAGAATAAAAGGAGAGATCAAGAGTTTCCCATGCAAGAAAGAAACTATAGGAGGTCTCTTCTAGAGTTTGAATCAATCAAAACAAAAACCAAGACTTGAACATATGCTGCCTAGAAGAGACCTACTCCAGATAGAAAGACACACAAACTGAAAATAAAGGATGAAAAAAGATATTTAATGCAAATAGAAACAAAAGCTGGAGTACCAATACTTATATCAGACAAAACAAACTTTAAAACAGAGGCTATAGTAATCAAAACAGCGTGGTACTGGCATAAAAACAGACACGTAGATTACTGGGCTAGAATACGGGTCCCAGAAATAAACCCATACCTATATGGTCAATCTATGAAAAAGGAGGCAAGAATATAAAATGGGATAAAGACAGTCTTCAAAAATGGTGCTGGGTAAACTATACAGTAAAATCCAAAATATGAAATTCCACCCTTTCTTCCATTATATACAAAAATAAACTCAATAGATTAGAGACTTAAATATAAGGACTGAAACCACAAAACTCCTAGAAGAAAGCATAGACAATAAACTCTGACATTTGCCTTAGCAAAACTTTTTTTGGATATTTCTCCTAGGGCAAAGACTGCCGGGAGCCAATCCAT